GGTTAAAGGGATTCGCCATGCAGGACTCGTATGAAGGTAAGCGTCATCATCCTGCTTCTGGAATGCAGGGATGGACCCCTATGTTTTGAACTTGAGGCGGGTCTCACTCTTGCGTTTTTAATTTGGAACCCGGGTGTGACCTCAGCGTTGTGTTTTTTTTGCAACGCGGGTCTGACCTTGGCGTTTTGACTTGAGATGCAGAGGCGGCTTTCATGCATTTTTTACTAAGTCTTGGAGACTTGTCTTTAGCTTATCTGTTTCAAGTCTCGACTCACATACATTAATCTGTTGGGCCTACAAATATGCATAGGATTTTTGGTAAACCCTCAGCCATCAACGAATTTGATAAACTTTTACCGACTGTCGTTTTAGTTGGGCTAACATATGAATTATTTGAATCCATTTTACATGTAACGTTGTGCTAAGAGAATGAACCCTCTTAGACTTGATGTTATGATTTTGAATACATAGACTTTGTCATTTTCATGAAAAAAGACTAACTGGCAACGTGTTAGGTGTAGACTTATTTCTAATTAAGGATCGAGATAAAGTTCCCCAGACGTGGATTCTGGTGTCTTTTTCACGGTAAAAGACCAACCGGTAACGCGTGTTAGGCGTAGACTTATCTCTAATTAAGGATTCAAGTGTTAGGCGATAAAAGACTAACCGACAATGCGCGTTAGGCATAGACTTATCTCTAATTAGGGATTGAGATAAAGTCCTTATGCATGAAAGGCATGGATTTTTGGTGCTACGATGTTGAATAGGAAGACTTCGTCATTTTTACGGGAATACGCTATCCGGCAGTACGTGTTAGATGCAGACTTATCTCTATTTAGGGATCGAGATAAAGTCTCCCATGCATGAAAGGCGTGGATTTTTGGTGCTACGATGTTGAATACGTAGACTTCGTCATTATTATAGGAATAGGCTACCCGACAGCACGTGTTAGATGCAGGCTTATCTCTATTTAGGGATCGAGATAAAGTTCCCCATGTGTGTAAGCCATGGATTTCGGCGTTATTAATAGTAACCTTCCACGATGTTAAATACGTGGGCTTTGCTATTTTCACAGGAATGCGCTACCCGACAGCATGTGTTAGATACAGACTTATCTCTATTTAGGGATCGAGATAAAGTCCCCCATACGTGTAAGGTATGAATTATGGTGTTATTAATAAGAACTTTCTACGATATTGAATAGTAGGCTTTATCGTTATTTCTTCCTGTGTTATGTTTTCACTTGAAACACTAAAAAAAAGTTAGAAGTGCCAGAGGTTTAGTATTAACTTAGCATGAATTTTCACTTAAAGTGAAATTCAAAAATTTTCTTCATTATCACTAGGATAATTTTAGAAAATCTTTAATCCGCTGAGGATTTTATAATAAAAACTTATTATTCTTGTTGAAAAAGTATTAGCAAGTTCCTTAGGGGGTTTGACTGTTAGAAGTGTGATGTTAACCTAACAGTATTTTATAGGCCTATCGCTCTATTAAATAGAGTCGATAAGATGATTTGGTCATCAGAGGTGTGATGTTAACATGACGGAAAAAATGTTGCGATCGGAGCAACTTTGAGGACTTATCATCCTATTGAAAAGGATTGATAAGTTGATTTTGTCACATGTGTGATATTAATGTGACAGGTGTGTGGATCTATCACTCTATTGAAGAGAGTCAATAAGTTGATTGTCAGAGGTATTTTGTTAACATGACATGATTGTAGACCTATCGCTCTATTAAAAAGAGTCGATAAGATAATTTTATCAGAGGTGTAATATTAACGTGACAAAAATTTTGTTACGATCAGAGCAACTTTAAGGACTTATCGCTCTATTGAAGAGAGTTGATAAGTTGATTTTCAAAGATATTTTGTTAATGTGACAGGAGTTTGTTACGATCGGAGCAACTTTGAGGACCTATCGCTCTATTGGAGAGAGTCGATAAGTTAATTGTCAAAGGTGTGATATTAACATGACAGGAGCTTGTACTTGTGATTTGAACAATATTTTGAAGGCTTAACGTCTTGCTGGGGAAGATTATGATTTGAGCAATTTTGAGGCCCTATCATCCAGTTAACAAGGATTGACAAGTTGATTGTCAAAGGTGTATTATTAACGTGACAAATTGATAGTGATGCAAGCTGAATTCATACTCCGTAGGGATGTAAATCGTCAGAAGTGTAATGTTAACTCAACGATGTTTGTAGACCTATCAACCTATTGAAGATGATTGATAGGAAGATTCGTTAGTGGATTCCAGGTAACCAACCCCCAGTCTTGATTAAGACTTAGCAGGGGAAGAATTTTGCAGTTGATAGAAGTATTCTATTGAACATGACAACTCAGAATATTTATTACTCATAATCCAGTGGACCACAAATAAACTAACCCCCAGTCTTGAACAAGTGCAGGAGAAAAAGAGATAAACAGGACACTATCCGTCAAGTCATTTTGTGACCGTGGAGCATAACGAATATAAAGAGTTTGGAATACGTCACACAGTAGGCTGCTACCTAAAGGATTTGCCTATCAGAGGTAATTGTTAACATGATAGCTTTATGGACCCATCATTCTATTAAAGAGGATTGGCTTCAGAGACCGTAGTATCTTTCTCTTTTGACCGAGAAGATTAGAGTTGGTCTCATTGCTCAGATTGATTCTGCCTATTTTGTTCTTCGGAACTGATTCTGGTAATAATTTTTTGAGTCTGTTCGCCTTGAGAGATTAATTACCTCCAAGAACGGCATTCTTCAACTCTCATTTTTGCTAGAATGTTGGTCTACAAGTTGTGTCGATAGGTATCTACTAAGGTAGATTGTGTCATACCTGACGAACATCGAAGAGACATGCTTCGGAACCTCTTTACGAAGGCATTGATGGGCTCCCTCTTCTTCTGCTTAATGGCGAGAAGGATATGGATGGAGACTTCTATATCCTTTTCAAAGAATCTTGACAGGAAGAGTCTCTCTAGATCCGCCCATTTTTGGATGCATCCCGCAGGCAGTTTCCTGAATCATTTAAAGGCAACTCTCTTGAGGGTGCCAATGAACAATCGATCCAGTATGGCATTGTTTGATATCATATTCCCAGTCTGTGACTTGAAATGCTAGATGTGTTGGCTCGGTGATCCTGTGCTGTCAAAAGTTTGTAGTGTCGGGACCTCAAACTTTAGAGGATAAGGGGCAGCATCTCATTCGGCAGGGTAAGGGCGC